CAGGTAAAAAAATGGTGAGAACAAAGTTGATACGGTGGATGAAGTAGAAAATGCAGGTTGCAGGGAGCCAAATGATTTGCGGTGGTTGAAGGGCTGGGCGCTGGCACGGGCAGGGGCGCGTCGCTGCGTGGGAGGTCAGCGTCGCCAGGCGCCGAGCACATGCCCCGCCACCCGCCACGTAGGTGCGCTACCTATCGGCGGTCATTGGCGGAGGGCGAAAGCCGAAAGGCAATTGAGTGGATGCATTTTCTCACGTTTGAGTGGATGAAAAACAAGGAAATTTTACAAAGAAGTTTGAGTGGATGAAACGTTTCCTCTAAAATGTAATACAAATAAATCCTATGAAAAAAATCTGAAGGATTGAAAATCAAACGACCATCACGGGATTTTTTTTCCTAAGAATCCAAATCCTATAAAAATCCTAGAAGATTCCTTTATATTAAAAGGAGCCCTAATGGGAGAAACTTTTCTTTTTGGTCCTCTTCTCCGGTCCTTCGGAAGGGCCAAAACTGCATCCCACCATTGACTTTGGCGTTTAGAAATCAATTAATCACATTAAAAGAATTCGACTATGCCTCAACCGATGGAATCCGAGGGAGTTGGCTAGAGCCAATCCATACCAGATAGCCGTTCCTCCATTGCCATCAGGGCATCTTTAACAACTTGTATGTTAGTTTGTTGGTAAAATATACCATGTCATCAACCAACATCTTAACATACAACAACTTCAATGGATTATATCTAGTTTGTCCAATAGGATGTAAGATAATAAATAAGGTACTCTCTCGTTCTACATTGGTGCTTGTGCAGAGGATGTTGGTTCATTTACATACAACATTTCTCTCTTCCCTCATTTATTGCATGACACGTTATCAAAAATCCTATGTAACAAAGTCTACCAACAACTATCTTACAATCATTGAAGATGCCCTCACATCCGGTAGTATGAATGAAACAAACGTGCATTGAGCCGCAGGCATCGTCCCTTCTCATCTCGCAGCACGACCGCCATAGCATCCGAGCCTTCATCATCATAATATATGCAGCACCGATATTTAATTTAGTGAACGTTGGGTCTGCACAACAGTGCAAATGTTAGCTTTAAGAACTAGATCGATTCGTCTGGGAGCTGTGTATGCATGTGTAATGTGTTTTTTAACACGATACAAACGTAAGCGCTCATACATATGCGTATACATTCACCCTATGAACACATATACGCACACTCTACCTCTATTAGCACCTCTGAGAGATTAGCCGACATATCATCTTGAAATTTAGGCCTTATACAATGCAAGGTGCTTAGTGCTTTCCTTAAGCACCGGTGCTTATTTGTATAGGCTAGATGCTTAATTAGGTGTCTCTCCTGCAGAAATAGGCACTGGTGCTTTAGAAAAACTGTTTTTTTCTAAGCACCTCCTTAAGTACCTAGCATTGTACAGGGCATTACGAAGTCACCGTAAGCGTCTCGTCGTCGATGGGAATGTCTCCTCCCACTGAAAGCACATCGCGCGGAAATCCTGAAATAAATCCAGAAATAATACGAGCACCAGGACTTGAACCCTGGTGGGCTGGGATACCACTGTCCCTCTAACCATCCAACCACAGGTTGGCTCGCAACATGTGTAATGTGTTGATGTGCAAAGCTAGCCTATCGGTATGGACCGGGGTCCGGCGGCACGAAGGACCAAGCATCAGCGACGACCTGCTGGAAGCCATCCATTTTCGGCCAAAACTTCTCGAAGTGGAAGCGCCACAAGCCTGGAGAACGCAGGGGTGCAGTCAACCATGAGGGGGCAGTGGTCTGGTCGGAAGCCGCACGGAAGAGAGGCATCATAGTAAGCAGGTTGGGTGGGCAGATTCCCAGGTGTTAGTGCAGAGCACCCTGTCTATGCGGACTAGGGTTGGGTTCTCGCGCTCGTTCGACCATGTGTAGCGCCTGCCATGCAAGTATAGATCACGTAGCTCCATGTCGGCCATGAAGCGGCGGAATCGTCTCATAAGACACGGGTGAAGCCTGACGTTGTTCTTATCCGCAGCGGCCACAATCATGTTGAAATCCCCATCGATGATTCACGGGCCCACAGAGAGAGCACATACATCTTGGAGGTCCTGGAGGAAGGCCATCTTGTTGGCCTCGGTCTGGGGGCCATACACGCCAGTAAGCCAGAATGGGTGCTCGTCGGAGAGGGAGGAGACCATTGTCGTGATGTGATGAGTGCCATACACTGGGTTGGAGTCCATTAGCTCGGAGTTGCGCCACGCGAGTAGGATCCTGCCACAGGTGTCCGTCGCCGAAAGGTAGAAGAAGGCATCAAAGGAAGGTCCAAGCGTCTCCGAGACCAAGGCGGGGAGAAGAGCTCTAACTTGGTTTCCTGTAGGCAAACGACGGTCGGCATGTCTGAGGAGATGACGCTAAGCACGGCGGCACGTTTTCGCACCAGAATTGAGACTGCGAACATTCTACAATAGCAGTTTGAGATTGTAATCCATGGGAAAACAATAATGATCCAGAGAGAGAGGGGGCGAAGACAAGAGGTAGCTAAGCAGCCGCCACTGCCGACGACCCGGGTGGCGTGAGGGCAAGCAACTGGTGATACGTCTCAAACGTATCTATAATTTTTTATTGTTCCATGCTGTTATTTTATCAATCTTGGATGTTTTATATACATTATTAACCATTTATAAATCATTTTTTGGGGGACTAACCTACTAACTTAGTGCCCAGTGCCAGTTGATGTTTTCTGTATGTTTATTGCTTTACAGAAAATCAATATCAAATGAAGTCCAAATGCCATGAAACATTTTGGAGATTTTTTTTCTGGGCATGAAGGACACTAGAAGCTTTGGGTTGAGGCTAGAAGACTAGGGAGGTGGCCACAAGCCACTTGGGCACACCAGGGGGGCTGGCGCGCCCAGGTGCCTTATGGCCCCCCTTTGTCCGTTTGACCTAATTCATGCGCTATAAATTCCCAAATATTCAGAAACCCTTAGGGGAGTGCACGATATACTTTTTATGCCGCCGCAACCCTCTGCTCTCGAGAGATCCCATCTGAAGGCCTTTTTCGGTACTCAGCCGGGAGGGGGGGTGGGGAATCAGTCACGGAGGGGCTCTACATCAACCTTGCTGCCCTTCTGATGATGCGTGAGTAGTTCACAACAGACCTTCGGGTCCATGCTTGGTAGCTAGATGGCGTCTTCTCTCTTTTTGATCTTCAATACAATGTTCTCCTTGGTGTTCTTAGAGTTCTATCCGATATAATCACTTTTTGTGGTGTGTTTGTTGGGATTCGATGAATTGTGAGTTTATGATCAGATTTATCCATGAAAGTATTTGAGTTATTTGAGTCTTTTCTGAACTCCTTTATGCATGATTATTATAGTCTCGTATTTCTTCTGCGATCTATTGATTTTGTTTGGCCGACTAGATTGATTTATCTTGCCATGGGAAGTGGTGTGTTGGGACCGAGAGTATATCGACCAGAGGGGGGGTGAATGGGAGATTCAAAAATTTCTTTCGAAAGTTTTGAACTGATCCCACACACAGCAGCGAAAATAATATTCGGCAGATATGAAATCAGTCAAGCTCACTATTGAGGAATAAAACCTTCAAGATAGGATGCAATAACAGTTCGATCATAGATTACAATAGGCT